TGATAACTCAAGTGTTGTTTTTTTCTTATTTTTATTTTTTATAGTAGATTTTCAACCCATCTAGGAAAAGGAAAAGTCTGACGTAAAACCCAGGCACTATTAACACTTCTTAGCCAACTACCCCTGTATTGTGTCCATGTTTGCTGACAGAGATTGATGGTCTGACTCTGTCCTCCTTTCAGGGTGGAGCCCGCTGGAGTCCAATGGTTGACACCAGGTTTGAGGAAATGTAAGTTTATTTTTCGTGTAATTTATGACAACAAAGCAGCAACACTCAACCATTTATATTTATTCCATCACTCATTCAGTATCAATAACTGCTGGGTTGTGTTTGTTCTCCCATCAGACTCCTGTCAGCTCACAGTCAACACAAACACAGTGAGCAGAAAACTCAAACTGTCTGACAACAACAGGAAGGTGACCTATGTGGAGAAGGTCCAGACATATCCTGATCACCCAGACAGATTTGATAACTGGCCTCAGCTGCTGTGTCAAACTGGTCTGACAGGTCGCTGTTACTGGGAGGTGGAGTGGAGGAGAAGAGTTGATATAGCTGTAAGTTACAGAGGAATCAAAGGGAGAGGTGGCACAGCCTGTGTGTTTGGATGGAATGATCAGTCTTGGAGTYTGAACTGCTCTGATGTTGATGGTTATTCTGTTTGGCACAAAAGCAGACAAACGCAGGTATCCTCCTCCTCTATTTCTGATAGAGTAGCCRTGTTTGTGGACTGTCCTGCTGGCATCCTGTCCTTCTACAGAGTCTCCTCTGATGAACTGATCCACCTCCACACCTTCAGCACCACTTTCACTCAACCTCTTTATCCTGGATTTACTGTGGGGTCTGGTTCAGTGCTTTTGTGTTGAGTTTCAAATAAGTTGTCTTCTGTCATAGAAACAGTCTGACTGCTGGTGATGGTGATTAAGTCACTGAAAACTACAGGAAAAGATGAAAGGAATTCAATAAATTTTTTATCTTTAATGACAACAATTTCAGTACTTAATTTCACTGATTTTGAGTTTCTATAACCAGTTATTGTGTATTTCTGCTTTGTAGTGATCTACATTTAATTTTTGACTTTTCTAAGTTGATTTTTTTATTACTGTATGCCATAGCTGTAATTTTAAGAATTTATTTATTTTTCAGAAAAAAATGCATAAGCTATATTTTTACCAAACTGATAAAAATACTTTAAAAATCACTGTTGTATTTGAAAATAGCAAGTATTATTCTTTGTATGATTTACTTAATAAATTGCACATTTTGTACAACTAATGTTTTTCTAACTCATTTGTTTACAGTCATTTTGTCGTGTTTTGTTTCAATGAAGAATGTTTCCATCATCAGTTCGGGCTGAAAACCAAGCAATGGTACAGAGTAGGGATGCACGATGTATCGGCATTAACATCGGTATCGGTTGATATTGGTCATTTTGTAGAACATCGGTATTGGTCCGATATGTAAAACTGGGCCGATTTTAATGTCTGATATTGATTTCCCACTTTTAGCTTTGTGTTTCTGTTTCAGGAGGGGATATGGTTGGTTGAGCTGCATCTGTTTGATCATGATGCTGCACAGCCAGGAATAACTGAAGTAGGGAGTCATGTCAGAGGTCTGGTCGTTTATTCACGGTATCATAAAAAAGACTTAAGTGTATTTGTGCGTATCATGTATAATATAATTTGTGTRTTATCGGTAAATATCGGTTATCGGTCATAATGGCAATAATTATATCTTGTATCGATATCGGCTGAGATTTTCATATCAGTGCATCCCTAGTACAGAGTGATAAAATGAAAGTCCCAGCATCTTTGGAAGGAATACAACTCGCCTTCCATATTTCAGATGAAATCTTTTTTTAAATAAGATCATCTGTTTTATTGAGAACAACATGCCTTTTTTATCGATTGATGATCAAAAAAAAATTCATAAAAAAAAGAGCCTTCAAAAAAATCTACTTGCTTAAAACTGTTCCCCAGCTTAACGGTTGGTCAGTGAGTGTTTACACTTTCATAAAACATATTAGAAAATACTGTATTTAAAATTAGTATGCTGCCACATATGGAG